CACGCAAGAAAACAAAGGAATGATCCTCCATGCCACTAGGCCTATTACATTCGAGTGGCACACTTGGAAAGGTACCATAAGCGTGACATGGATGATTGTGGAAGCAAGTAGCAAATAGATAACACATGTCTAGAAAATAGCAAGTTAAGTAGCCTCATAAACTCAAAGTGCTTTTCGATACTCAAAAATCGAGCCAACTTAGGCTCTACGTGCATATACGTCTAAACATCATCCAACGGTCACTCTGGAAGGACTAAGTGAGTAGGACTAAGTGAGTTTATTTAACACTTGTAATATTTACCCAAAGTTTCATAAAGATCCGACAACAAAAACTTAACCAAACTTAATTTAAACTCATAAAATTAACTTTTTATCAGTTTTGAGACGCAAATATAACCAACCTAGAAGTATTATTTCTAAAACGTGTCTAGAGGATGGGTTTAGATCTACATATGATCTTTCTAAAATGTCCAAAATCGTAGCAATCCGAGCTACGGTTAAGAAGTTATCGCATATTCAAAACAGCATCTCGGGTAGATTTGGTGCTGTCAAAATCACCAACTAAATAGGCTAAAGTCCATATTTTGGATTCAATCTTTATTCCAACAATCAAAATACCATCTAACCATGTTTATATTATTGATTAGAAGATCAATACTCAAGAATTTCACCAAAAGAGCCATTAATGAAGAAAATCAAAGGAATGGTATCAAAGCTAGACCCGAATCGATGTGGCCCAACGAGGACGTTGTGTCCTAATGCGAGGAGGATGCAACAACTCGTGCCACATCAGTTGGTGAGAAGAACTAAGCACTCCTTATAAGGGTGTGGATACCTCAGCCTAGCATGACGCATTTTGGGGCTTGCATTGTGCGGCTGCTAGAAACAAAACCGTGCGACTACTGCTATGTGGTTGAGCGGGCAGGTTAGTCAAAGCGGACAATATCATTGCTACGAGGTTCTGGGGGCGTTACATGATGTCCATACCGTCACTGCTGCGGGTGATAGAGATGGCCAAATGGGCCTGGCCCGGCCTGTAACCGCCGGAGGACCGGAACCGGCCCGGGACCGGTATGGACCGGTTGTGGACTGCCGGTTGTGGACCGCCGGTTGTGGACCGCCGGTTATGAACCGGTTATGGATTTTAACGTTTTTTAGGACCAAGACCGGTTAAGACCGGAACCAGTTATGTAACCGGTTATAGGGGCCCCCGATCAACAAAAGTCAACGTGTATATATATATATATATATATATATATATATATATATATAACAAAACGTATTTATAAAATTAAACGTATA